GAGTAAAACATTTTTTTGGGAATTTATTGAAATATATTTCTCACTTGTCAATATAATATAGCCATATAGGTTAACATGATATAGATCAAAACTATTTTATTATCAAAAATTAGTTTTTGAAGATATTTTTTAGTGAAAGAAATTTAAATTCATTAAATATGGCACACAAACGCTAAGAAATGGTTAAAATTGTTTTTACTGAATTTTCAAAAAWTGTAATACACTTGGTATTTATTTGTTATACTAAGCATAATACATAGTTTTGTCATTTAACATAGAGTTTAAATTACTTTTTGTGATACGAGTTTGAATATCTAAAACGAATAATGACTACTGAAATGTATACAAATATGATTTGTACTAACCTTTAATCAGAAAATGTCTAATAAAACTGGAGGATTATAATATATGTATATCTTTAGCGTGCATCAGTTTCAACTTTTCAAATTAATTATCAAAATTGTTTTTGATTTATTCAACCCTGTAATATCATGTACAAGCCGGCCTGTAAAATAATCGTAAACATTTCTTGATAGGTAAATGAATGTCATGATTCCTACTACCATCTAATTTGAAATTTATTGAAATATTTATACAAAATGTATTGCAATTATTGTGTCATAGCTGTATTATTTAGCACACATCATGGTAAAATTAATACATTCATCGCTCCACTCAGAATCTAAAAGTATTTACACCAAAAAAAAGGGGGAAATAAATTGGTTTATTTGGAATGAAAATGACATGAAACAAATTTATGTATAAAAATTAGATTTCTATTTTATATATAAAAAAGAAGCATTTGCTTTAAAATCCGAGCCCTAGTATAATAAGATATAGAGTGGTTCTTTTTACAAAGAAAATTTATTATTCTGATAGTAAATTCTACTTTTGTTTTTTGAAATTTTGTTTTTGAAAAAAWCAAGATTTGTACAATTCTATTATTTTGATACGAATATCAATGGACGAATATCAAATATTAAACAAATAGCTTTTTTTTCTGTGAATTATTAAAGGTTTGRTGAGCAGAATAGTGAACTATAATGCCTCGGCCAAACAGAACGCGTTATAACATGCGTTAAAGTAGTAAATGGCTGGTTGGTTTTCACGTGTAACAATTACAAAATCACGCCACGTGAAAATAACGCTTTCTGTTTGACAGAGCCTTAAACCTCTTCACTCCTCTAAATAGTTTTATCTCAATTGTTATTTGYAAAAGAAAAAAAATAGCA